ATAAGCTTCTAAGTGGATCCCGTGGCTGATGCAGAAATCTCACAGACGATGTGCCTCTTGGCAGAGAGCCAATGAGCATGGTCCCCCTTGCCTGTTGATGTAGAAGATCGAGTCTGTGTTGTCTGTTAACACTCTCACCACTTTGCCAATAAGGTGCGATAAGAAGACTCTGCATGCGAAGCAGACGGCTCTGAGCTCTTTGACGTTTATGTGCAATATCATCTTCTTCAGGGACCACACGCCCTGAGTCTGGAAGTCACCGAGTTGCACTCCCCAGTTGAGGTCCGAGGCGTCCGATATCAACTCGATATTTAAAGTCATAAGTATTGGCTCTATACTGTCTGTAGTTCAAACTTGTGCTATGCTTCTGGGTGACATCCCAGACAAGTTGGTGTCAGCTCTGCCTAGCCTGCTTGATGCCCATTAATGACCATCGGCTATACTACTGACCCATTGAAAGAAGGCAGATAAACCTTGTGACTCAGCAAGGAATGCAGGGACATGCCTATGGACAGAACTCAGGTTTTTCCATGCCATGTGATGGACAGCTTGTCTTTGGGACATAGAAAGCAGAGACCATATGGCAAGACACTATAAAAAGCTGCCACAGCTCCTCCATCTTCTCTTCAATCCTGCTTCATACTCTGGAGGGACTTTGCTACAAACGGAAGCTCTACACAAAGGACTGATGACCCATCCCAGCTGTGGATGTACTCCAGAGACTTGATTTAAACCTGTAGTTTATTCTGTCACTGCTATAAGCCTGAACAAAGAACTTTGCCATTACTGTATGTAATTGATTCCATTTAACCAATTCTAGCTCTCATCTATATCTCTTTCCTTTTATGAATAAACCTTTGATTTTAGATTCTAAAGGACTGGCAACAGTGTGATTTGTGGGTAAGATCTGATTTGTATATTGACCTGGGTCTGGGGCTTGGTCCTTTGAGATCGAGAGAATCTTTTTTCTTTTACTGGGGTCTTGGTTTTCATAAACATTCATCCCCATAACGAGTGGCAATGATGGTGATACTGGGAAACTGGAGTGTCTAAGGGAATTGCTTTTATGACTTGTGGTTAGCCAGTGGGATAAAACCAAAGTCCTCTCTGTCTGGCTGGTTTGGTTTGCCTTAGAGGTGGAAAAACCCCAGCCTTGGGCGGTAACTGGCCTGCTTGAAGCAATTTGTCCTGAACTGACACACACTTGTGTCTCACCAAAGCCAGCACTGTTACAAGGGGGTACTAGAAGGAGAGCTTTTGTCATCCCTAGAAGTTCATAGCCTGTGGAAGTCAGATTTAGTTATTAGATAGTTGCTTTCAAATGTGATTCTGTCTTAATCATGGGAAAAACAAAGGAAGAACTCAAGGAGGTGAGAGCTTTAAAATCCCTTCTTTGAGTTAATTGAGCATATGGGGAAAGATAGCACACCATATAAATCTAAGGGATTAATTATTTTATGTGCAGATGTCTCAGACCTGTAATATTATGGCTAAAACAAGATTTCCTTATGATCACACAAACTGAATAACAAGCCAACCATTAAGAGAGGGAGGCTGAACGCTGCTCACAAGAAGGATCCCACAAATCAGACTTTTCTCTCTCTTGACCCCACAAAGGGAATTGGATATAGACCGAGACACACTCCTGTGGTCATTCCAGCTGTGAAGAGTTCTGGCGACACATACTGAAGCTTAGACCTCTCTACTCTTAGAACCACCTCTGAAAATCAGAGGGAAAGAATGCATATGAATGTGCGTGGTAGAATAAATGAGTATAAACACATTACACAAAAGCTGTATATTGTGATTCAGATGCTACAAATCGGACTTATATTCCAGTAATGTGTGCTGTACAAACAGCCAAAAGTTTATAAAACTTGTATAGAAGAGCACACTAGTACTTTTACAACCCAATATCTTTCATTAGAACAAACAGTTATTTAAAGGTCGTTTCAAGTACCATTCAAAATGTCTGGCTTGCTTGTTAATATTCAATGTAAATATTTATATACTAAACAACTGTGGTACTCGGTCTATGAAGGTGACTTGGAGCTGCTAAGACCTAAATTCAGGGTTTAAATACAACTACATGGAGTTTAACTCTGCATAATGCTTTCTGAGCGGTCCTGGAAAGAGGACTCTGGCCCGTGCTTCAGCACACTGTTAAACTGAGGTGCAGGAAAGTGCGTGTAGCTGTAGTTGTACAGAATCTGCCCCAATCTCCCGCTTACACTTAGAGAATACATTTGCAGTTAGACTTCATGGAGGATACTTCCACAGCATTCCCTTCTCCTCGCCGGCTATAGTCTAGTGAGCTGCACGGGACTTGAATAAGGTTGAGATACAAGTGGCTTTTCCTGTCCATCAGAATCTACCTTCCCATTTCCTAAATGATGTGGGGTTTTAAACTGTTTTACATGTGCCCTGGAAAGAGCATCCTGGGGCCCCATCCTGTCAGACTTCAGTGTCATAAAAAGGCACTGTTTTATAAAAAAACCTGCATAATTGCTTTCAGTGGTAAAACCCCCAAAGAGAAAAGGAATAATGAAGATAGAAAATGAAGGGCAATTATAGTTCAAAAAGCACCAGTAAGGGAACGTGTTTTCAGATTTGGCATGTTCAATGCAGACACTGCAATTTGTGCTACAGAGTCGGAGCTACTCTGTATACCAAGCCTATTATTTAATAATTCAACTATGATGTCTTTATGAGCACTGACTTGAGCTAATTGAGCTTAACAAAATACTAAATTGCAACAAAAAGAAAGGAAACAATAAAATAACGGATGTTTCCAATATGAAATGACTATATACGTTCCCTAATATTTCAATTGATCACAACCTCAAAAGCGCTTCTGAAGAAAAGAAGCTTAAAGAGAAAACAAAAATGAAAGAAGAGCTTAAAATTTTAAAAAGTCCACAGCATTTGCAGTGACCAATCTTCTGCATGAATTTCACTCTCTACAGTTTACTGTTCTGTCTACCAATGTGGAACTTGTCGTGAGTAGAGTACAGTAATTATCTGAGTACAATAAAAATCTCATTTACACCAGTAAAGACAGACAAAAGTTATGTGATTTCAACACAGACGTATGCAGACAACTATTGAGCACACTGAAATCTATTTATCCATGTATACATAGACAACTTTCAAACGAATCTGCACAATACTTAGCTGTGAAACTGAACTGTGAAATTTCTCCAGCAGCTGGCTACAGTACTGCTGTATTATAACATGTTTTTCATAATATGTTAGTACATCACTTTGTCTCTCACCAGGAAGATAAGGAAAAATCTAATGAGGAAAGAATTATTTATAACAGTCGTAGACAATGTGACAAAGCAGCAGCAGCTCATTAACTCAGACATGAACAATGAGCTGTAAATACTTCCCTTACTGGGAATTATCTTGTCCTCAGTAAAGCTACATCCACTGTTCTCATTTATATAATTTTTAAAATATGTTATTTATTTTAAATTATAGAAGACCCCACACTGACACACCAAATAAATAAAATTAGCTAGCAGTCCTTAATATTTAAATTTGACTCTTTCATTAACATACATGTAAAATTGATATTTACATTATGGTGTCTGACTCATTTGGCAATAAAACTTCCCAAATATTTACACAACAATCATGACATTTTTTATTATTAACCTACAGATTCTGTACATCCAATTGCTGGATTTAAGTGATCTGAAATACTGATACTGAAAGTCAGATATTTTAACAGGTAGTAAAAGTATAAGAATGGTTTATCAACTGCCAGATTTTAGACACCAATTCAGGAAGCATGTGCTTAAATCCCATTGACTTGAATAGGATTTAAATTAGAGTTTAAGTGCTTTCCTGATTTGGAATGGATTCAAGCATGTTCTTTCTTGAATTGGGACCGCGATATGTCTCTAGTTTAACTGTCTAAGAGTGCAAGGATACCGCTTTATAACAGGCAAAGTAGTCCCTATTAAAAATCCGCAGTGAGTCATGAGGACAATTTATACCACTGGCACCTTAGAGACTAACAAATTTATTAGAGCATAAGCTTTCGTGGACTACAGCCCACTTCTTCGGATGCA